AGCGACCTCTTGAATAGCTTTTTGGCACTCCTTCTCCTCCTCACGCTCCTCCTCGAGAAGCTGCTTGAAGAGCGCCTCGCGCTGGAGGGGGCACTTTGCGTCTTTGATAGGGGCGACTGGCTGGTTGCAATCAGCATTGAGACAAATGAGAAAGAAAGCAAAGGGTTGCATCAGAATTTGTTCAAGTCTGTTGCGCATATTTCCAATTCTATATTCCGAACGATGGCTCTCTTGATGACGCGGCACAGGTTCCTTATGTATTGGACACCCCACGTCTGGTCTCAAGCTCGACAACGCTTGTGACTCTTGACTCTCGACTACGCTCTGTCGCCCATGCGCTCATGCATGTACATAGAGCCACGCCTCCCATGAACGCATCTGCAATGAGACACCATTGCCCCTTTGTAGGACGGTTGCGACAACTCGTAACTCACTTTGATGCGAGCCATCGAGCGTTTGTCAACCGCATCGGTGGCGTAGATGCGGTGCCATGAGTAGACTTTGCGCTGAGGCGCAGCAGGTTGGGTCGAGGGCCTCATTATGACAACTCGATTGATGTTAGTGTAGAGGGCGTTGAGGGTGGAAAGGTTCTCTACGAGCTGGTGGTTGCGAGAATGTGGTAGTGAAGAAGCCAAGAGATGTTCTGGGGTCGCAAGTGAAGCTTCAGAGAGGCACGCAAGGAGATGTGTGGGTAGCAGTCGCTCTGGGCAAAGTGCCCAAGAGTGGCGTGGAGGCACTTCCTCGAATGTCCACTAGTGATAGCAGTGCCAGCAGCTCATCTCGCCGCAACGCATGTAAGGGGCTTGACACCACATCCTCGATTGATGGGTAGAAGGTAGCGCAACATCCCACGCCAGTCTAGCCCCGCCTTGACCAAGAGGGACGACAAAATTGGTGCACTCATGCCATCCTGCGTGCCTTGGCGGACGGGCTCAAGATTCAGCACCTTCTGCTCAGCTTGCTCGAGAGTCACACGAACAAGCAACGAGCGGACGTCTAAATTTTAGCGGCGTGCTCAGCTCAACGGCTTTCTCTCACCAATTGATTCCTCCGAATCAAACTTTCGATCGATGCGTGTATGCCAAATGAATGAGAGGGGTGGACTGAGGCCGTGCAAAGCTAACGGGCGGCCAACCTCTGAGTTTGAGAGCTCGAGCCAAAATGCCAGGGGTCTACTGGCGGCTACTGCCATCATCAGCGAGCCGACTTCTGGTGGTCGACTTTGCTGACGTGATTGCGTGTGCGCCTTCCCCTGTGCCCATAAACAGACCGATAGAACCATCCAGCCAAATCGCCTGTCAGCGACTTGGCATTGAGCGTAGCGTTTCCCACCTTCCTATTGGGCCCGTCCCGCCTGTCAGTGAAGGTGGTCATGCCCGATTTCTAGCCGCTATCCAGCTTGAGCGGAGCGCGAGTGAGCACGCTGCCCAGGTGCCAGCGCCTTGAAGGTGGAGCGAATCAACACTCTTGACTCATCATCAGAAATAGCTACACTCGCAAGTGCTCTCGCGCGGCTCTGCTGTTCGCGTCGCGCATCAAATCGCGGAGGCGCGCCGAGCCAGCATCGATGACATGCATCCAGAAAAGCATCAATTGACATGCGGAAGACCTTCTTTAGGTTGCAAGTTCATCGCGCATACGCAAGGAGTCACTGGAGCGGACGCATTCACACTCGTGACTTTGATGTATGATCGCGAGTTGAGAGCACATGCATGCAGCAGCCAAGAAGACGTTGGAGTGGTCCTCATGCAGCAGGCCCGGGCGCTGCCTGCCAAAGATGCCGTATTGGAAGATCTAGACACCCTCCATCTACAGACAGGAGAAGCAATTTGCAGTGGGCGCAAGGAGGAAGAGGAGATGGTGTGTTGACATTGCGCAAATTGTTCTACTCATTTGAAAAGGCTGACACAAAGTCTGCTGTGTGGGTCCAATTCAAATCAGATTGCGACGCTTGAGAGATTCTTGAGCTCTGCTGGCATACAAGTGCCAAGCCGCTCGACCTCGTTTAGGTTTGAGGATGTGCGCAAGCATCACCTTGCCCTCAGCAGAATCCTTGGGGTGAGTGCGCACGCCTGATGCCACTCTAAGATTGAGGCTGACACTCACTGTTTCTTTAAGGGGAGGTACGTGGAGCTGTCCGTGGCTATAGTGTCTCAGCGCAAGACAAGCAATCGCTCTGCATCAGCGTCAGCGTCGCCATCAAGTGCGAGGCTTGCCGTGCCCATGTGAGTGTGTCAATCTGCCACAAGCCAGCCCTTGGGAATGTCTCCCTCATCTCAAGCTGGGACTTTGAGAAGGGTCTGGCCAGCGTCAAGTTCCATAAGGACATGCAAGCCTAGATACTGATCCTATAACAACACTTTGAGCAGTCCAGCCACAGGAGGCAGCGGAGGGAGGAACAAGAGTGCTGGAACCTCTGTTGCAGAGCTGAGCAAGCGCAAAAGGGAGAGGAGCACAAGCAACTCGGCCCAAACAGCTGGTAGGCAGACGAACGTTGCTGGAACTCTGGTGTTGTCTGCGTCTGACAAAGATTTGCTATCTAGGCGCTTGCTGTCTGCAATGTTTGCCTTTTCGCTGAAAATCATGACGAGGCGGGACGCGGGCAGACCATATGGCCCAAAGATGTATGTGGGCAGACAATCGCTACCAGCTCGCCGGCAGCATGTCCTAATTCACATAGGCACGCCTCTTTCCGTTCGAACAGCAGTAATCCGACGAATGCATGCCAATCAGGTCAGCCCTGATCTTTTGACTTGATCAGCGCTCCGACGGAAGACTGCGGACTGCGAGAGTTCTGAATGCAAGCTGTTAGGCCTCCAGTGTGCTAGTAAAGAGATAGACGAGCGGGCGTGTGGTTTGTACGTTTGGCAGAACGCTGTTGAAGTCGGCCTGCGGTCACGCCGCAGTCCAATTAGGAAGTACATTGCAACCACTCCTCCAAATACAGAACATGGAGTCCACCCAAAGAAATGTGACTCGGATCGATCTGCTGAAAGGCTTTGCAATCGGCGTATCTCATCAGCATCGCTCAGCGTCTTGGCATCGTGACTCTCATCAATCGCGTTGCCCGATCAATACACTTCGCAAAGGGTTTGTGAGCGTCAACACCCGACTCGATGTCTTCCATCGGGCACAAAAAGCTGCTCATTGGTCATCAATGATCTCGCCCCGTCCGGAACAGGCAGTCAGAGGGGAGTCAATCACCGTGTTCAAGTCATCGTTGAACATTTGAAGACGCTTTGCTTTTGGTCACAGAAACAACAGAGGAGGAAAAGATATCTGCATATATGCATGCGCAAGAGGTCAGCAATTGTTCTCAGCCCAGTGTGCATGCTTGAAGATGTCCCTCACGTATGGTGGCCAAAATTGCAAGTGGGTTGCGGTATTGAGCACAGCACCTCACGTCAGATGCTAAGAGCTAACACGAAGGTGATGTAGCCACTCACATCTCAATTGTTGCGAGGCCTTTCACTGGATGAGAAAGGGCTGCTGGAACCGATCTCAGGCGTGACCAAGTCGATGATTTCCGTGTCGCGATTCCCATCAGTTTGGCGTCTTGGTGCACTGCGCCCGACGCGGCTGCCTGATCCAAGAGTGTCCGAGCTAGCTGCTGCAGTGCTTGAGCTGCTAGCAACGGCTTGTGCGCTAGCTGACGCGACCCTTCGACCGGTGCTGTTGTCGGTCATGACAGGTGTTTGTCCAACCAGAGGGCTTCTGTTGGCAATCGTGGCATGTCAACTACACCACTGATGCTGTCGACAATTGCCCAAAGCCTCCAGCCAAAGTGAGTTCCAGATTGTTGCGCCTGTCCTACAAAGAGATGATTCACAACTAGGAATGGATGGATTAAGGCTATGGCAATAACAAAGCTTTGCGCAAACCCAGAATGTCTCTTGACTTCTTCACTACCACATTCTTGCAACCACCAGCTCAAAGAGAAACTCTCCCCCTTCACACCCCAACTCCCATCTGCATCTCTCCAGTTGTCAAGATGAAGACCCCTACCAAGCCAACTCAAGTCTGCATCCACTCATGGCATTGCAACTATGCTACTGGTGTGGTGGACCAACACAAGAAGGCGTCCATGGAAGTGACTTGCAAGTTGGTGGCAATCCTTTTGGTTAGCAAACACGCTGGAAGAGGGGAGGGGAGGGGTCAGGTCCGTCCGGATTGGGCCTTTGCCCTCCTTGATGTGACTAAAGATCACCTCCTTGTTGCCTCCACCAGCTGCACTCTTCATGGCTTCCGTTCTACCTGTGCTGTTCTGGATGCAAACAAACATGATGTTGTCTTGGTTGTCCCCAGCATCACAGGAAGTGGAAGCGGTGCTTGAAGATGCTCCGGACATGCTGGGCGCAGGTACTCAACCTGTCTGCTCTGCTCCAGTCTGAAGAGGTTCATCTGGTTGTATTACGCTTGTCCAACAGTAGCAATGGGATTCTGTTTGGCCTGCGCAGCCTCTCTGACATCTGCAGGCTCTCCTGTGCTGTCCATCTGCATCTCTTGGCTGACCTTTTTGACGTTGCGCCAGTTTCTGAACTGTTGAAAGCGCTGATGTCCCTGAGCGTTCAAGGTTGCGGCCTGTGATTGGTTGGCAAGGCGCATTCATGATTAGCACTCCTGCTGCTGAAGCTTTCATCACCAATGGCGCGCTCACGCTCAGCTTAAGAGCCAGTCCATCGAAACTTAACTCGGTGGTGCACTCGCTTGCGTCTGCTGGTAGATTGGGAGCGCACATGGGCGGCGTCCATCGTGAAAGGTGCCTGCAAGAGAGTGACTTCAGTATCAAATCTACACGTGCTTGGGTTTTCCTTCACCTGTGCCCAGATGCTACTCAATACCCGGCCATAGACCTCTGTAGCCTGCTTGTTTGAGGCGCGAAGAGTGTAGATACTGGCGGCAGCCCTCTCGCTCCGCTCCCTTACAGATCTTAGGATCTCTTCCACTCTCTCATTTTGCGAGGCACTTCTCTTGCTTTCTGACAATTTGATTAGAGTCAAGAGCTCATCCAGCTCATCCAACATTTGCGTCTGTGCGAGAGCAGCGTCGAAGACCATTCTGATCTGGTGTCATCCTTCAAAAAGTTGGGGCTTCTGTGAGTGGATGTGAGGCTAAGCGAAGAGAGCGGTTGATCAAAGGGCTGGCCTCACAGTGAGCTTCAAGACAAGCACCTCAGATCCTGCAAAGGTTCGTGGGATCTCTAGATCTGGCATGTTCTGAGCACCCCTTGTGACAGCAGCCTTGTGAGAAACAACAGTGCTGAATCTGCGTGCAACACGTGGCACTTGACCACACATCCGCAAGTGCAATATATATCCGGCTATGGTTAAATTGAGGTGAAGGCTCTGCACGCCCAGCTCTGCTGACAATAAAGCAAGTCACGACAGAGTAAACATGCAAGTAAGGCTGCGCAGGCACCACCTCATGCACCTGCTGACACCTCATGACAAGTTGCTCAGCGCAAAATGGTTTGGCTCGGGCCCTGCGAGCGTTTTACACTGATCAAGTCGCAAGAGCACTGATAAGGCGACGAGACTCTAGTGAAGATTTCCACTTTTATACACGTCGAGTCGACATCGACCTCGTAGCGGCAGGAGTCGAGCTTTGCCTCGCAACGCTCGCTGTGCTTTGGATATTTTTCCGATTTATTCGCTGTCATTGAGCAGAGTAGCTGTTAATGATACCGGGCCTGCAGATTGAACGAGCGTGAGAATGCGATCGTGTTGCCGCAAAGACTTCTACTGACGGAGTTCCTTTGTGATGCCAGGTCTCGACTGAGCTGCGTCTCGAAACGCGGCCGAGAAAGGTCAGGAGAGGCGCACCACGAGGGACGGTTTACATCCATTTTTTAGGATCAGATGTCTCGATGACGGGTTTCAAATCAGCGCATTGTGTCGGCTTAACAGCGACAGAATTCTAGACGTGCAATGTTGACTGCGGGGACGCTGAGCGAGCATCGAAAGAACGGCGGTCGAATTGAGCAAAGATCGGAAGTGCCGAGCAAACGGTGAACTGCGCTCACCAAGGGGACGCCACCCCGAACTTTGCACGCCCGTTCAGATTTTGCGTTGGCTCCGCTCATTGGGGAGTCCGCCGCAGCCTGCGGACATATCGGACCACCTTACCCCTATCACTGCTCGTGGAACGTGGTCTCCGTACCACCATCGTCGAGGGTGTGATTCACCAGTGCAAACGGAAGCATGAGTTTCTCGCACGTACAAACTTGAACATCTGACCATCTGCAGCAACGCCGGGCGTGCCAGAGGAGCGGTTCAGCAAGGCTGCTGGCGGATCAACTCCCTTCGCGACCTTTTTCCACCGATGGGTGCTCACCTGCTTTTTCAAACAAATGGCGCTGCACCGTCGACCGCATCCCCACGACCATGCTCAAACGCTTGCCGTGGTCCGCTCCTCTTCACTATCTTCACTTCTCTACATCGATGGTGTGGACTGCAGGAACTGATTCTGAGGTCGTTCTGTTGATTATTCGGTCGACCCGATCGACTATCGACGACTCCCTCCGCACCGACTCGATACAAGCGCCCTTGTTCACCTCGCTATACGTTCACACTCATCGTCGTTCACTAGCCGAGTCGGACGGACCATGATATGCCAATGAGTGCTGGAGCTCGTTATGCAGGGCGAAACAGCTTGAGAGAATGGGCGCCATTCGACCCACTCATTACGCTCGCCGCGTCGCACCGAGAAATGTTGCGTTTCGCGCCGGTCTTGTGCAGATGACCGGCCGGTTGTTGGTGTTGAGGCATATGCTATCAAGGTCGGCAAGATGGTCGAGCACGAAAGGTTTCGGTCTCAGAGGCGCACCTAAATTGTTGCCGCATGCCGATCACTGGTGTGATCCTGTCGGTGAAAATAGCTGGGTGGGCGGCAAGGCAAAATTGCTCTGAAGGGCATGCTTTGCCCGTGAGCGCTTCGACACGGTGGCAACCTGAGAGGCGGGGCGACCGGGCCGCACTGATAGCTGCCTTGGGGCATCTCGACCGGCATGGGCAGAGATACGCGCTCGAGATTGCCAGCCAGCTGAAGTCAGGCGTGTAGTGTGCTGCGATTTGAAATTTGTTGATCGATGGCGGTGGTCTAGAGAACGGTGTAGTTGCGCCTGAATGTCGATGTCTCAAGCAAGCCGACCAAAATCCAGTGCCACAGGACCATCCCAGTCGAGCAAGGCGGACTAGGAATCTGAAAGAGGAAGATCAGCACCGAGTCTGGTCGGAAATGTAGATGCCCAAATGCGACTCACGCAGAGCGGCGGCACGCGCGGTGCAGATCGGCTGGCAGCCTATGCGGTCTTCGGTGGTAAGCTTCTCCCACCCGCCCAGCGGCATGGTTGCTCCTAAGCCCCCACATGATCGGCCGAGGCGCTAGTCGTTATGATGGAGTGTCCCGCGGTCTACGGGAGCTTGGTACGGGAATTGTGCCCTGCAGCGCCGGAGCTCAAGAGGGCTTTGAATTTGAGACCGAAGCGCGCATAGCGTGCAGAGGCATCGGTGAGACGGCGAGTGGTTGAGAAGCTGCTCGTACCGGGAGCTATGGCCGCGTGAGCGCTGATCGAGTGGGTGACCGATGGTGAGCTACTTAAGGTATGCGATCCAACTCAGGTGACGGCCAGAGCTCACTCTTCTGCGCGAAAAGAACAAAAGCAGTGGTGCCTTGAGACCAATCAACTTGCAGCACCGAAGTACCCAAGACTATCTTGCTGCCGCTCCGCGTTGTCCAGCACCGCGTGTAGCCCTGAGCTAACATCGGCTGAAGCCGGGGCGAGAGAGAGCACACTGGTTGCGGCATCTGCAAAAGTGACAGCAGAGCGGAAAAAGCCTCCTGACTACCTCACTGGAAGCGCATTCTAGTATCGGCCGAGCCTCGGGGCAGCTGTGAGTCCGACCTGGGGTCGCGGAATAGGTGCAAGTGGTGAGCGCTATTGCGGTGACTCTCTGCAGAACACCGAATCGAGTTCCGCTGGCGTGACAAGTGTCGTGCGGTTACATGTAGAGCACCCACACATGCCAAGACACAGCTCAGCCAGCCCCACCTCTGAGTAGACCACCTGTCCCCAGATATCATTCTCATGTGCTCGCTCGGCCTCGCTCACCTAAGCCGGTATTCGCCTCTCCGCTACCGCTGCTCAGCTACCGAGTTCGACGAAATGGTCCACGCACAGCTCAGCTGCCCACTTGCGACTCCACTGACCACATCCTCCACCCGACTTGTGCTCAAGGAGTAGAGTGGACCGGCAAGAGCTATTCCGAAGGCCGACAGCGCGAAAGACGAGCTTTGATCTGATGGCTGGTCAGCAATTTGCGTCGTCTACGCTGCGAGGTGCGTTGCTTCAGGAGAAGTCGCACGACTTGCTGAGAAGCGAGGGTCGCACTCACGATCATAGCAGCCATAGTGAGGTGCGAGCGCCTTTCTGGAGTGGTGTACATAACCGCTTGCAGATGCGGTCACCAGCTATAGATACACTGCTCAGCGTAGGTCACATAGGACATGTCCAAGCCTCGCAGCACAGTAGCGAGGTGAACAGGAGCAGGAAATCGGCGCTGAGCGGGTGCAACCAGACAGGCGACCGATTCGGCTGAGCGGCCTCAAAGAAGTGTGAGGGTGAGGGACGTGCGTCTAAGTCGAGTTGGCGTGATGGAAGGGCACACAGCGCGTTGCAGAGGGCAGTGGATGTCGTGATGATGATTCGATCGTGAGGGAGCAAAGCTTCGTGGAACGAAAAGCATGCGATCTGCACTCGTGACTGGCCGACGTGTTGGTCCGTTCTGCATCAAGACGCGTCCAAGTGCAGCCTCGCGTTTGACGCGTCGCGGACGAGGCCCAGCTGCTCACTCAGCAAGACTGAGAACGAAGCAATCGGGATCACAGAGGGCAGGTTAGGTAGGAGCTTTTGACAGGCAGTGAAAGCCAGGGACAAAGACGGCTTCATGCAGGCACACATCCGCACAGACATGCTGCCGAGTCAATGCCCTGGACAACTGGTGTGTGAGTTGGTGCATCAGATGTAATAAGAAGACATTCATATCAGAAAGACATGACTTCGGCAAGCAGACGCACAGGCTTGGTCACCTACAATACTTGTCCTCTCCACGCAAGATCTAGCCAACGCACCTGCAGCTGCCTGACAGGAGGCTGCCACCACTCTTAGACAACCAATCTGCTCAATGATACAAGCCAGATTGTGAACATCCTTGAGCCTGGCAAAAATGGCAAGCTTATACACCGCAGGAAGAACCAATCCAGCACCAAAGTCTGAAAGGCGGGCAGCTCAAGGAGTGGCATTCCTCCAATAGCCTTGTCAGACATTGTGGGCACTCCTTTGAAATAGAAGCTGTTGGAGTTGTTGGCAGGACCAATGTGTGCAAATTTTCAAAGCCCAAGTCTCCAAGCGCTGGCCCTTCAAAGTCACCAATGCGTGGCAAGGAGATCCATTGTGCCAAAAAGCGTCTTCATGGACAGGATACTCAGCCCACCAGTGCCGCTGGCCAATGGCGGTAAGACTTGCCAGAGATGCTCCACGTGCCTTGCGCTCTCTGCTCTCATGCAAACATTGAGCAGGTGCTTGCTGATGTCATGGTTGACAACAAG